TCTCTGTCAAGTCCCTGATCACGTGTGTCCAACCTGATGAGGCCTTTGCTGACAATTCTGTATCAACAAGTTACCCATCCCTGACTCGTTTAGTTCCTTTCCCTGAGCCTGTTTTATGCCTATTCATAGTATTTATCACAATTTGCACACAGAAATGCATCTAACAACATATATAGATGTAGGTTCTTTATATACCCCCTCCCACAGAATGCAAGGTCTTTGAAATTATTCTATCTGTTTTGATTTTATCTTAAATATCAAAACCTAGAATTAAAGAACCAGAAATAGTATTGGGTTGTCAGAAATGTCATGACGCATTTTTGCAATGAAAAACAGAAAAATACGTCATAACTTTTCTGACAACCCAATATATTTCTTCTTGTAAAATGAAGAAACATATGAGTGAATTGTTTCTGATTTCATTGAGTCAGAGTTTGGAAGGGAAGGTGGACATCACATTTTCATAAACTTCCATACAAATGATTTAACAAGTGCAGCTCAGTTGCTTTAAATCAGTCCTACAAGAAATACAAAACTCAAATGTCCATGAAGGCTATATATTTAATGAAATGTCTTAAGTACAAATAAGGAAATTTTCTAAAATAATCTGTAGAAGCAATTTTCATGTTCACATCCACTGTCCATATGACAAATACGTATTTGGCTTAAAACTTATGATGTCTGTTATTTATTGAAGCTTATCACCTCGAGTTCACGAGACAGAACTCGGAGTAAAATGTGTCTCCTCACGGTACCTCTTGGGCTCGCCTTCATATTCTGCTCTAAAAAGTGCCCTTGTGATGTTCTCCTCCAGCCCAGCTCTCACGGGCATCTGCCTGAGTCCTGGATTCAGAGAAAGAAATACAAGAATAAGTGAAAACTAGGGGAGGGGGTGATAATTGGCCCAGCCAGCAGCCCCTCGTACAGAAGGATTATGAGTCTCTGGCAGAAGTCTAGGCAGCTACGCTGGAGGCAAAGTAAAATAAGAGGAAGGGAAACTGGCAATACTGCAAAATAGCTGAGAGGACTGGCAACCTTGCAACCCAGCCTTCAAGGAATACTCCATCTGCACCAAAAATGAGCTCTTTTTCTGTAATGTCGACTGGTTTCCAAACCATGGCGTTAGATTCACTGCTGAGAGTGGAGACGGGAATTACAGTGGGACGTGTGGTGAGAAGAGAGAAGGTGTCAAATATTCACCTCAGAAAGGAGAACAAGCGGAGTAGGTATTCCGTGCCGAGGGCCTGCGGGGAGTGTGAAATCGCCGTGTTAAAGCAAGGCCAGTTCCCTGGCCATGGGGTTCTCTCTGGTGGGTCAGCCACTCTGGTAGGCACACACAGAGGTTCAGTTCACCCCGCATTACAGTTCTGTGAAGAGGGAAGAGAAAGCAAGGGGTTGCAGTTGCTCCTCTGAGAGGGATTTGAGTGACAAATCCTGGCATTCAAGCAGAAGGAGAGGTGAGTCCCCAAGAGAGGAAGTCGCAGTGCTCTGCAGGAGGTCTGTGAAACTGAAAAGGGATTTACGGCAACGTATTTGGGGTACAGGCTGCTTTTGAAAATCCTATCCTTGTGAGTAGTTACAGCAATCAAAATGCTCTTATGCTCAGGATAAAAGAAGATAGGCCCCTGGTTCCATGAACAGCAGAGCAGTGCTAGAGCCTGGCTGCTCTTACAATGGCCGGCAGCCACTAATCCTCTGGGTTCTACCGGAAATTAAAATCTCGTGGAGCTAATGGCCCAAAGTGTCCCTGCTCACCCCTTAATGTTGGTGTGACGTGATCACCTCTGTGAGCTCCTGTGACCTGTTATACCCCAAGTCTCAGCAGAATAGAGAGTTGGGTAAAAGAGTTCTAACGATTAAGCACCAACTATATGCTGGGTTTTATGTCAGGAATACACGCTGACGTTACGCTTGTACACACATTCTGCAGTGACATTCACATAGTAGGTGTCCAGAAGGATTTTGTGGACAACGAAATGAGTGGAAGCTATTTGATTTGCCCACTGAGATTTTCTTTTGTTGCTGACTCACTAGAACCCAATTGAGCTCAAAGTGAATCACCATGTCTTCTTTCCAGACACTCAGTGAAGAAACACAGTAGCTGCTATCACTTTTGGGGTCCTGTTTTTTTAAAAACCATGAATTAGAAATACATTTTGAACATCTAAAGGTTAAAATGAATAACAAAATACATTCTAATCAAAAGCTCGGTGATATAATATTTAAGCTCGCAACTGGCTGCTCTCAAACTTAGAAATAAAATACCCTAATGGACTAGGTAGTACTATGCCTCTTCTGAAGGTTCATTACATCTCGCCTCTCAGCACGGACAGCTGGTGGATAGAAAACGAAATGTTTCAACAGCACATTTGTCAGCTTGTAAGCGGGCATTACTTACTTTAAAAGTTGCACTAAGAACATAACCACAGAGAATTGTCAATGAAAAGTTCATTAGTATGCAAAAGAGACAGCCAACGATTTGCTAATATTTAAATGAAAGATTATCTTGCAAATAATTATAGGGACAGACTCATCAAAGAATATCTTATCTGTGTGTTTGAAAGTTAGCATCCAATAATGAGATTTGCTTGTAGACTGGGGATGGAGGGATTAATTAAAAGAAAACAAGAGTAATTAGTGTTCTGAGGGATAGAAAAGTGCAGGAAAATTTTAAATATTTTTATAAAGAACGAGAGAAAATTTATTGTATACATTTGCTACTATTGCTAGTTATATAAACTATTTGTTTAAAATTAAGTATAGACAGTGTAAGCTATGACTCTCTTTTGTGTGAAGCTAAAGAAACAATGTCACAATTTCACTTCAGACTCGGTCCTGTGGCCAAAGTATATATTCTCATGTCTACACCCCCGATTTCCAGAGTGAGTTCCATGCAACAGCTGTATCAAAAGAGTGAATGGTCAATAGCTCCACCAAGAACAAACTTCCCCTAATTTTTAAATTATTTTTCTTCTCACACCACTACCACTCACAATATTCCCAGACACAGGTGTGTGCATTTATTACTAACACCAAGCTCTTCTCTGTGACACCAGCCAGGTGTCCTAAACGCCATTCAGTTCTGGCACTAACCAGAGCTAGTGCACACCCCACAGGACTCAGTCCCAGAAGAGCCCCCCCCATCTCAGATGCCGGTCACAAGTCTGGGGGCTTCTGAGCAACCAGCTGTAAATCAGAGTCCCCATGACATTGTCCTTGGGTTTGAGCCTTTGCTAAAATAGCTCACAGAGCTCAGAGAAACACTTATGCTTACTGGTTTATTAAATAATGAACGCTATGAGAAAGGGTACCAGGATGAACAGCCAGAGGAAGAGGTGCACAGGGTGAGGGCCAGAAAGGTCCTGAGCAAGGAGCTTCTGTCCCCATGGAGTTGGGGTGCACCACCTCCCAGCACGTGGATGTTTTCACCAGGCTGGGGGCTCTCCAAACCTCATACCTGGGGATTTTTATGGAGATTTCATCCATGCTCATGAGGTACCTTTAACACAATCTCCAGCCTCCTCCCCTTCCCCCAAAATGGGGGGGGGGTCTGAAAGTTCCCGGCTTCCAATCATGGCTTGGTCTTCCTGGTGACCTTCCTGAAGCCATCCAGGAGCCCACGGGGAGTTGTCTCATTAGGACAAGCCACACTCTTACCACTCAGGAAATTCCAAGGGTTTTAGGAGCACTGTGCCAGGTACAGGGAACAGAGACCAATGCATATATTTTCTGTTATTTCAAAATGCCAATCCCCGTCTTTGTTGACAGTGAATTTACATATCTATCTAGGTATTCCTTCATTCATAACACCTTTATACATTTGTGGAAACAGTGCTACCTGTAACATACCACGAATAATGATTGTTACACCTTGCTGGCCTTATCTCCCCATTTCACCTTGAACCCTATGAGGACTGCGGAAATGTCAGATAAGAGAGAGAGCACATGTGGTTGGTGAATCTTAGCAAACTTTGAGTGTCACTTGAACCACCGTGTGCCCTTGGACTAACGTCCTGGTCGGATGCAGAGTCATTTGCACAAGAGTTTCAAGATCCTAAATTATAATCATTTTGAGCCTTCCCACTAATTGCATCCACTTCCTGATGTGGCCTCCTATCCATGCCATTAGCATCCCTATGATGTGATGGGGGGATGGGGTGTGGGGGAGGGGGCTCAGTGTGGCAGCTTTGACCCGGGAGGTCTCCCTCTGTCCTTGGGTAAACCAACTAAGCCGTGCTGAATCTTTGTTGTTCTCTAATTTCAAATATTTGGGGTTATTTCGTTTATGCCTAGATTTTGTCTTCTACAATAGATGAGAGCAAGGAACACAGCCACTTTTCACTATTAATAGCCCTAGTTTTGTTTACTGTCGGCCATAACTGGATCTAAATCCACACTGAAGCTGACCACGGGGACTGAGAAGGCCCAGTACATCCGAGCTCTGGGAGGGACGGTTCCACCTTAGGCACCCTGCCTCTGCCTTCCCAGTAAACCTTCTAGGACACTGGAGAGGCCGGTCTCTGTTCTCTGCCTTTCCCAGCAGTCCATGGTCTGGACTGAGAGCACAGTGAGGCTGCTAGTTGCCTCTGGCTTCAGAGTAGCCTGACCTTGGGCCGTCAGAGGCCACGGCCTCCCCTGTGCTGACCTTATTGTGAGAGAGCCAACGCAGGCCCAGCCACGGTGCCAGTTTGAGCTTTTGTTCCAGAAGATTGAAAATAAAGTGAAGGATTCTAATCGGAGCCATGCAGGTGACCCCAGAAGCCCATGGACAGACTCGTTTCCTGGAGATAGCTGGCGTCTAAACACTAAAAAAACCTGAGGCCCAAAACCAAACCCAGGGGGACAGAAACGGACATTCTGGTAACTGGCATTGACCTGGGCAGAAATGTAATCTAAACATGAAGAGGTCAAGAAAAGTACAAAGGTCAAGCAATTGTAGCAAACACCAGAATGCACTAATTCATTCATTGATTGATTGATTTTACCTTCTTCTTTTTTAGTGTAACAGAAAGAAGACACTCAAAATCTCAGTGGCATCCAACAAACGTTTTTATTCCTTGCTCGGGAGGGACAAGACTGATCTCACCTGGATCTGGTGAAGTGTCTACAGGCTACAGGTAAGATCTGGTCTAGCCCACCTGTCTCCTTCTGAGGCCTGGGTTGCAGAGGCAGTGACCACCTGCAGTTTACTTTTCTGCTGGGAGATTACAACAGCACAGGGGGATGTATGAAACCACACAAATGTTTCAAGTTGCTGCCCATTTCCTACCCCCTCACACTCTATTGCCTACAGCAAGTCGTGGCCAGTTGCAAGCTCAGTGGAACAGGAATACCCGCTCCTCCCCCATCGGTAGGGAGAGGAGTGCTATTGGCTGCATAATAACCTATCCTTCCTGTGCAAATGGCGGCTTTCCTGACCAATCCTTATGGAAGGAGGGGCATGTGGTATTTGTCGGCGTGTGATTGGCTTAAAAGGCCATTGACAGAGTGAGGTGGACCCTCAGATTGGCAGACTCAACAGCTCCTGTCAGTTCAACAAGGATGAATCAGCTTCTGTGACTGAGCTCACCTGAGACGAATGTACCCACCAGGATGCCAGTTTAGTAACTTAGAAGGAGTTGACTGGTTTTGTTAAGTAACCTGGATATTTGTTTTGGTTGATCAGGACCGTTTGTCCATAAAAGCAAATCTCTATTAGGATGTCAGGTTAATAGCAGTTTCAGGTGTAGTGAGTGTGAATTCAGAGCAGAACTCAATGGGGCGGTGTCACTCGTGACCTTGGCCTATCCGTCTCTAGTACAGGGCGTCACCACCCCTGGGGTCAACAGGCTTGGTGTGGGCCCCACGGCAGTGTCAGAAACGGAGGGCAGACTGGAGTCTGTCATTTGGGCTCATCTTCATCACCTACTCTTGCCTCACATCATCTTTCTTTGTATATATGAAGCAATTCACTAGGAGGGAGGTGGTCACAGTCCCAGCCCAGGGGTTATTGTGTCCACTGTTAGTAAACTCTGTACGAATCAGAGCATCTAGATGAGCTACTTGTATTTGTCAAACTTTCTGAATTATAAAGGTGCCGCCTTTCATCATCTACAGTAGCTACGCATATGCACACAATACCCTCTATGCCTTGGATATTCTGGGTCATTGAGATTTCAGATAACGTCTCCTTGTTCTATTGTATACTTACTTCTATTTTAGGTTTGGGAAATATGGTTACTCAACATGTGAAGGCAAATTCTTTGAGGGAGTGATTTTTTTCTTTTTAAATTCTGATTTAATGACAGCTACATAGATATCATAAAATAGTCATTGACATATTAGTTAGCACCTGGCTTAATGCTGCTTTTTCCATAATATGTTACAGATAAGTTTTCTGGCATTGGTGAGAGTTTTGAGTACCTGCTTTCTCATTGGTAAATTGGGAATAACATATCTGCTTTGCTTGCTCTATGGAAATGTTGAAAAGGAAATTAGGTAGTTTATGTAACAGAGTTACTTGGTCCGTTTGAGGAGCTCCATGAAAGAGTGATGAATCTGGTTAAGATTTTGAAGTGTTTCTATGAACGTTGTTGAGGCAATGTATACGACAAAGTAAAAGGATTTGGGTATCGATTGTTCTTGTGGTTGCGCACGCGCCCTGTGTTTTCTTCTTTAATGTTTTAAAGGCCCTTTTGTCAAGAATCCAGATCAGATTACGTATGTCTCCCCCACCCTTTGTTTTCTCCTCCCACTGTCCTTGTATACAGAAAAACCTTGATTGATTTATACCTATTGTCCCATTTGTCAGCAAATGACAACTCAAGTCAGCAAACAATGGAAACAGAAAATATCAAAAACTGAACAATAGACCCAATTTTAACTTAACGGCAACATCTCCCAAAGGAGGGTAGAAGCAAAAAATGCCACTTTCGACATCAGTTATGTGGATTGTTCTAATTCATTCTTCACTAGTGATCCTCCCCGGTTCATTTTAATCTTGATGGAATTCTCTATAATGGTCATTAAATTTCAAAGTACTGCACAATTAAGGGTTGGTTAACTATTAGACCATATAAGCCATTCTGATTTATGCAAGCTTCATTAAAATCTTTTTTAGCTACAATCTGAGGGGGATAAGAAATGCATTAGATTTAAGAATTCAAATCAGTTTAATGAGACTTTTTTCCCTTTCTTGGACGCCAGCTATGTGCTTGTGTGGTGCTAGATGCTTCAGAGAACTATATGCAAAGAACTATTAATAGTTGGTAATGATGACAAAAAGAGAGAACATGGCATTTAGACAAGAGAAAGGAGTTTAAATGTATGGCAGACACACACACAAAGGTATTCTTTTTGCATTAGTATAGTGGCAGAATATAAGGGTTTTTGAGTCTGACCGAATTGGGCAAGTTATGCAGTATTTCTAAGTTTAATTTTAACTCTTTGTTCATTTTTTCTTGATGTGTAGCAGGTGATCACAGAGGGAGCAGCTTAAAGCAATAACCATTTGCTAAATCCTAGTCCTGTAGGTGAGAAGTTGGGATTGGTTTCAGCTGGTCTCAGCTTAGAGTCTTGCAGAGCCAAAACCAAGGTATTGGATGGTCCAGCTCTGATCTGCAGGCTCTGGGGAAGATCCCTCTTTGAAGGTCCTTCAGGGTGTCAGCAAACCCCAATTCTTGTGGTTGCAGGACCGAGGTCTGTTTCCTGAGCTCACTGGCTGTCAACGGAAAGCCCCTCTCCCCCTGAAGACCATTTACATTCCTTCTCACCTGGCCTTCTCCATCTTCCACTTGCCATGGCACCCACTCCTCATACTTCAGATCTCTGACTTCCCTTTACGCCTCCCTGTCCTACCTCATCCAGAGAAAATTCCACGCCTTTGGGGGCTTGTGTGATTAGGTTAGCTCTGCTTGGAAATCCCTTCTGTCTTAATTTCGGCTGATGAGCAATCTTAGTTACATCTGTAAAGTCTCCTCACAGCAGTACCTAGTTCATGGTTTGATTGGATAGCCAGAAAAAAAGAATCTGGGGAGGCAGCGTCTTGGGAATTTTGCCTACCACAAGCTGCAACATGGTGTTAACAGGCAGCTATAACCCAGAGGAGTCCTAGGAAGGTTACATGACGTTATGTAGGGAAAGAACTTATTACTAGCACATAGTAAATCTAAGAAAATGTAGCTGTTGTCAGCTTTATTATTGGTATTGTCACCATTACTGTTATAATTATTTTTATTATTATTAAGTTCATATTTGAAAGATGGGAGAAATCATAAATGAACCTTCAAAGTGCATTACTGTTTTATGCTAGGGTTTGCTTTACTCTGGCAGAGAGTATTACAAATAGAACCAAAGCTATGCAATATTATATATAGGTACATTATACATACAACATATAGATATACTAAAATATATATAATATTATACTGTACTCCTAGTTTATGCCCTAACTTTTCACTTTCTTCAAGTTTTCTGAATACTTTTCATTGATTTTTTAATTTAAGTGCAACATAGATTAAAAGGCAAATGATGGAAAGTAATATAATATGCAAAAACTAACAAAATAAAGCTGGAATAGCTGTATTAACATAAGAAAGGTTACTGAAGCAGTATTATTACCGGAATAAAGAAGGCCATTCATAATAATAACAACATACTAATAAAGGAATAAATAAGCAAAACCAAACCAAAATAATGCTAAACATGTATGGACCTAAAAGCAGAGCTTCCTTAAACATGACTCACAGAACTTACAGAACAGAGAAGGACAATGGACAAATCCAGAATTATATGTGGGTGCTTTTAACATTCATCTCTGCAATGAATAGAACGTGTTGGTGGAAATTAGTAAGAAAAGAAAAAACTGAAACACATGTTCGATCAATTAACCTAATGGGCATTTAAAGAACACTGGACCCAACAGAGCACAATATACATTCTCTCAGATGCTCATGAAATGCCCATCATGAAAGACCATATTAAGGGCCGTGAAACAAACTTGTAAAAATTTAAAATATTTGAAATCACACACGGTATATTCTCTGACCCTAATGGAATAAAACTAGAAATCAATAACAGAAAGATATCTGAAAAAAATCCTGTTTGGAAATTAAACAATACTTAAAAATAACCTGTGGTCAAAGAGGACATCCCATGGGAAGTTAGAAAATATTTTTCATTGAGCAAACTAAAAATATAAGAAAGCAAAATTTGTTAAAAGTAGCAAATGTAGTGTTTACAGGAAATTTAAAGCATTAAATGTTTAAGCATTTTTTAAATAAATTTTTTAATTTTTTAAATGATCAGATATCAATTATCTCAATTTGTACCTTATAAAACTAAAGAGGAGAGCAGATTAAACCCAAAACAAGCAGAATAAATTAAATAATAAAGATGAGAGTGGATTGTAATGAAATTGAAAACAAAACAAAACAAAACAAAAAAACTGACAGGAAATCAATGAAACAAAAAATGAGGTTTTTTTTTAAGATCAATAAAATTGATAAATACATAACCAGGTTGACCCAAGAAAGAAATGATAGAAGTCACACATTGTCAATATCAGAACTGTAAGAGAGATTATCACCAATGCAAGAAAGATATTAAAAGGAAAACATGGAATTATTACAAATAATATATACCAGAAAAACTCTACATCTTAGATGAAATGGACCACTTACTTGTAAGACACAAACTAATAAGTTTCAATAAAGTACAAATAGATAACCTGAATATTCCTATAACAATTGAAGAAATGGAATAGCTTCCAAAAGAGAAAACTACTGGTTCAAAAATCTTCACTAACAAATTCTACCAAACATTTGAGGAGACAAAATACCAATTCTATACAAACTCTTTCACAAAAATCAAGCAGGAGGAAACACTTCTGAATTCATTTTATGAGGCCAGCATTAACCAGATACCAAAACCAGATCAACATTAGAAGGAATGAAAATTACAGAACAGTATATCCTACTAATATGAACAAAAAATCCTCTTACAAAATATTAGCAAATTGAAAACAGATATGTATTAAAAGACAAATATGGGCCAGCTGAGTGGCGTGTTGGTTAGGAGTTGTCTTGGGACACCAGCTCTGAGCAGCAGGGCCCCGATTTGGATCCCACATGAGGGCCAG